CGGCCAGGGAAGGCCTCCCTGAGGATGTGACAGGAGCTGAGGCTGAGCCCGGGCTGGCAGGAAGGCAGCAGTGGGGGAGGAAGAGCCTTTCGGGAGGGGCAGCCGCCCGTGAGAAGGTGAGGCCTGAGGCAGGGCCTCGGGTGTGTGAGGAGCTGGAGGAAGCAGCACTGTGGGGAGCTTCTGCAAGCTGAAGGGCAGTGTGGCGTGATATTAGGGCAGAGGGGGACGGGGGACACAGTGGGGCTAGGAGGCCATGGTGAGAAGTCGGACTTGATGCTGAAAATAAATGGAGCCCTTGGAGCTGGGAGTGACTCAATCGTACGGAAGCTTTGAGGTCCCTTTGGCTGCTGTGTGGAAAATGGATCTTAATCGGGCAGGAGGACCATGGAACCAGCCTTGGGGCTGTGTGGCTGTGCAGGTGAGAGCACAGTGGTGAGACAAGAGGAGGGGGCGGTGCAGCAGCACCAGGCTCAGGCCTTCCAGGCCACTCTCCCTCGGATCTTCCCTCCTGCCTAAGCCAGGAGAGCCCGCTTGAAGCTCAGAACCTCGCCCCTCGGCTCTGCGCCAGCCTCCCTGTGGTCTGGTAGAGTTGTGTAGAATCAAGGATAAGTTAGTCTAGAATGGTAAGCTGTAAACTGCATTAAAATGCATAAATATGTCGCACGTGCCCCAAATCCCAGCTACTCTGGAGGCTGAGGCAGGAGGATTGCATGTTTGAGGTCAGCCTGGGCAACTTGGACAAGAACCTATCTCAAAACAGATAAAAACAGCTGGGTGTATACCTCCGTGGTAGAGTGTCTCTGGGCTCCATCCTCAGGACTGCAAAAAATAAAAATATAAAAGAATAAACAGAAGTGAGGGAATCCTTTTGGACAAAATTTTTCAGAATTCAAAGCTTATGCTACACAAGAGCACAGACTATGCTCCCGCCTACCTCATCAGTGTAGCAACACAAAGGCGTCTTAGAGGAACATCAAGTCCCCATAAACACAAAAATCCTACCAATTTAGGGGTGTCTGGTGACAGAGCAGATCTGAAGCCAGGAGAAACAGTAAGAGTTGGGGTACAAGGGGACCACTGGCAAAGTCCACACCAGGAAGGCTCTCAGGATGTCGGATGAGATTCTGTTGTAACCCCAGGTTTTTAGTACTGGGAAGCCCAGGCTACTCAAACACAACTCCTTGGGCCTGAAGACTTTCCCAGAAGCTCAGCAGCCTCTTCTTCCTGGAGGAAAGAAGTTTATCCATAGGCTGAAAGTAAATGGGAGAAGTAGCTGCAGATCTAGACCTTGGGGTTGCCTGATGCAGCTGTCCAGACTGTGCACTGTACAAATCCAGGAGCTACCCAGGTAATAGTGTGAATGCTGCTCCCCAAGTTAGGAAACCCAGCAGCTTCTCAGATCCTTCTATAAGGGCTCAGTGTGATCAGCCACTGGACTGGAGGAGGGAACCCTACTTTCTTTGACTCTGATGAATTTTTTTGCTGAGCAAAGGCACTGGAATTGGCTGACAGATCCCTGTGGGTTAATGAAGGACAAGATGCAAAGAGTGGCAACATGAAAGTGGGGGAGACTTGCTCACTGCCAGGCTCCACCCAGAAGCAGCACTGAAAGCAGAGGAATTATTCAGCTATCACCAAATCACTGCAGCAATTCGGAGTCCAAGAGTTACCAAAAGGAATGCATAGCAAGCGTACCGTGGACTGTGGCTCTTTGAGTCTGCAGGGTCCTTTCCACCCCCATCTCCATCCATAATAACTCTGCACCCCAGCATGCTGAGCCCTCAACACTGCCTGTGTAAATCTGGGGCTTCCCTGCCCTGTGTGACCCTGTCCAGAGTGTATCGTCTCCTCCCCTCCTCTGGCGGCCAGCACCTCCCCTCCGTGCCTCTCCTCCTTACTTCTGTGGAACTAATTTGACCTTTCCTAAGCCTTGTTATGTTGGCATCAGGAAACTAACTGCACAGGCAGCCATGGGGATGCAGCTCATCAGCCCCTCACTGTGTCACCAGCCTCTCTCTTCAGGAGGATGCAAAGGGACCAGTGACAGTGGGAGTCTGAGCCTCAGCATGATTTTTCAGTTGCTTGTGCTAATATTTCATTGGTCTTTTTCCTTCATTATTTTTATCGTGGTGAAACATACGTAACAAAAATTGCCACCCTAATCTTTAGCACAAGAAAAATGAGAAAGTTTCTCATTTCCAATGGATTAAAATTTACCAAATATATAGAACAAATGAGATACAACATTGCATATTCTGGGCTTTCTAGCTACTCTTTTTTCTTTTTTACAGTGCTGGGGACTGAACCTAGGGCCTTCTGCATGCTAGGCAAGTGCTCCGCCACTGAGCTACATCCACAGCTGAGTTTCCTGTCCACATTTGGGGTTTTTTTGTTTGTGTTTTGTTTGGTTTGGTTTGGTAGTACTGGGGATTGAACACTGAACTACATCCCTGGCATTTAAAAAGTATGTTTTATTTTGAGACAGTCTTACTGAGTTGCCCAGGCTAGGCTTGAATTTGCATCCTCCTGCCTCAGCTTCCTATTGTGCTGAAATTATAGGTGTGTGCCACCATGTCCAGCTATCTGGCTACTCTTAGTCACCGTACTTTCTATATAAAATTTTCAAACTGTATATAACAGCAGGACATGTAGTTGAATGATAGGGTGTCTGCCTAGAAAGTGTAAGGTCCTAAGCCAGGAGTGGTGGCACAAGCCTGTAATCCCAGCACTTGGGAGGCTGAGGCAGGAGGAGCACCCTGAGTTTGAGGCCAGCTCGGGCTACATAGTGAGTTCAAGACCAGTCCAAAGTACATAGTTTATATAAACTACATACTATCTCAAAAAAATAAGTGTAAGGCCTTGGGTTCAAGCCCAGTATGAGAAAAAATATATATCTGTCTATGTATATATAAAACATAAAATTTAACCACTTTTCCACTTTTAAGTGTATAGTTAAATGGCATTGAGTATATTAGCCATGTTATGAAACCATTATGATCACCTGTCTCCAAAGTTTTTCATCTTCTCAAACTGAAACTCTATTTTCTTTTCTTTGAGACAGGGTCTCTCTTTATAGTTCAGGCTGACCTTGAACTATGTAGCCCAGGCTGGTCTTGAACACATGGTGATCCTCCTGCCTCAGCCTCTCAAGTGCCAGGATTACAAGGGTGTGCCACCACACCTGGCTTCCATATTCCTTAAGGTGCTTCCCGCTTTGCCTTCCTTTCACCAGCCACGTCCTGCTTTCTGTTTCTGTGACTTTGACAAGTCTGTGTTCTCCATGTGAATGGAGTTATGCAGTATTTGTCCTTTGGTGTCTGGCTTGTTTCACTGATAATGCATTCATAGTTCATCCGTGTCATAGCATGAGTCAGAATTACCTTCTTTTTATGGCTGAATAGTATTCCATTGTATCCCTATGTTATATTTTCTTTATCCATTCTTCTGCCTCTGGACACTTGTGAACAGGAAAACAGGAAGCCTGTTTGAGCCGCCAGAACAGAGTGACCACTTATGATTGTCAAATGTTAAAAAAAAAAGAATGTTTTATTACAGAAGTGGATATATTCTTTATAGAAAATTTAGAAGATGTGTAAAAGAAAAAGAAGAAAATCAAAGTTAACTGCTATTAACATAGTGTTATGCCCTGAGGTGCCCCCCATTCTCAGGTTGAAACCCCAAGTCCAGTGTAACTCTGTGGGTAGACAGGATTTTCATGGCTGTTTTTTTTTTTTTTTTTTGGTACTGGGGATCAAACTCAGGTCCTTGAGCTTGTGAGGCAGGTGGGTGGGTGGGAAGAACCACTGAGCTAAATCCCTGGCCCCTTTCATGTCTGTATTAATGCTACATGAGGTCATAAGAGCAGAGCCCTGAGCCAAGAGGTTTAGTGTCCTTATAAGAAGAGACATCAAGAGCGCACTTGCTGTGTCACGTACCCCATGTGGAGATGGCAAGAAGGGCTGCCTCCTACAAGCTGGGAAGAGAGCACACAGCAGACATGCAACTGGCCTGCGCCTTCCTGTTCATCATCTTGAGCTATGAGGCTGTGGGACACGTGGTTAGCCTTCCAGTGTTCTGTGAATATATGTGTGTTTGTGTAATGGGATCATTCTTAGGCAGCATATTGTAAGGTTAAGAAAGAAGGGGATTTAGCTCAGTGGCACTGTGCCTGCCTTGCAAGCACAAAATCCCGAGTTCAATCCCTGGTACCAGAGAGAGAGAGGGAGAGAGGGAGAGAGAGAGAGAGAGAGAGAGAGAGAGAGAGAGAGAGAGAAGGTGTTGGAATCCAACAGCCCTGGGTTCAAGTCTCAGTGGTGGGGCATTCTAGGCACATCTTGGGGTGGAACTCGCTTGCTTTTTTCCCTCCTCTGTAAATGGGGGTGGCGAGACCTTCTATCTCCTGGCACTGCTGTTAGGATTAAATTAGAAAAAGCTCCTAAGGAGTCGGGCACAGTTCTGGTACCTAGGAAGAGCCAGTCTTCTTCAATGGTGGCAAGTCTCTCAGGAGACTGCAGCCTCCCAGAGGGAGCAAGCCATCTCCACTTGACTATCCTATGCTTTGAATAGAATAGGACAGAAGGCAGGAAGGAAGGGAGGGAGGGAGGGCGCAGGGAAGAGGGGACATTCATGTATCTATGAGAGAAGCGAGCGAGTGCACACTCGATGATAGCATCATGATTGGTGTTGTCGCCCCATTCTCTAGAAGCTGAGCATGGTGTTTGGCTAAAGAGTGTGGGCCCCTGAGAGCTCGGAGGACTGGGTTTGGATTCTGTTCTGACTGGCTCCCGGATGCCTGAGCTGAGTCCGTGCACCTGTCAACGCATCCGTTGCTAACACGCGCCTCGAATATGTGAACGAGATTAGTACTGACCTTGGGGAGTTAGCGTGAGCCGATCCTTGTCAGGTGCTAAAATAGCCCCTGCTTCCCAGGGTGAGAGGAGGGCATTCATGAAACCACGCCAGCTTCATCTCAAAATGCCCTTTGCGATTGTCATCCACAGATCAAATAGCAGCACATCAAAAGCCGAGGCCCCTCCGACACCCAGCAGCCCCTCCACTCCCACATTTGGCCCCTCTGTCTGCCTGCTGGCTCCCTGCTATCTCACAGGGGACTCTGTCAGGGACAAGTGTGTGGAGATGCTGGCGGCAGCCCTGAAGGCAGAAGGTAAGAGGGCCTGGGCCAGGGATGGAGCAGGGAAAGGGTTCCCGAGGACTGGGAGGCATCCTCTGGCTCTGCACCCTCCTGGGGATGGCTTTGTCCCCAGTGCAAGCTGACAGTCCTGGCAAGGTCATGTCAGTCTCAGTTTCCCAATCTCTTTTAGATGATTACAAGGACTATGGAATCGACTGTGACAAGATAGCATCAGAAATTGAAGATCATATCCTTAAGCTGAGCACGGGCTGTGGGAGCCTGGATAGTGTCGTGGGGCTCTGGGGAGGGCTCTGGGGACATCCCTGCTCTGCTGTCCCTTGATCACTGCTGAGAATGACCCCACCAAGGGGGTCCCAACTGATCAGACTATAGATGAAGTAACTGAGGCTCAGGGAGGTGAAGGCCCTGCCAAAGCTTATGAAGCTAATAGTTGCAACGTTGGGATTTCAACCCAGAACGTGTGACTTCAGAACCACTGTGCCAGAGGGGCTGAGTCTTGATGTGTCTCCGTGGGTGAAGTCATTACCTGGGTTCCAGTAGATGGAGAGGACAGCGTGTCCCATGCTTAGCCTTTCTCCTTCATTTGGCGACCACAGCTCCCACTTCTGACTCTCTGCTAGGTACCAGGCACTGTCTGGCACTTGACATTTCCTACCTGTTAACATTTCCAACAATCTCTGTGAGGCATGGGGGCTGTTGTTCCCATTTTACGTATAAGGAAACTGAGGTTCAGAAACTACTCAGTGTCGGGGCTGGCTGAAGGCACTGGTCTTTGAATTCTAGGTCCTGAACTCTTTCCTTGGGCCCATTCCCCGCTTTCCATCTGCAAGGGGTCTTGTGTAGACAGCGGAAGTGACTGTCACTGCGATATGGGCTAAAAGATTTTTGGCTTGGGAAAGAATCTCTCTCTCTGTCCTTGGTGCATGGGATTTCTTGTACTGAAGACAAAGGTTTGCTTGTCAAAGAGGTGTGGAAAGGGGAGGGGGATTCCCCAAAGGAGAGGGAGTCTATGTGTCACACGGAGTGTGTGAGATCCTTTGAAGGCTCCCTGGGTCTCCCCGGGTGCAGCTGAGCCCGGTCCCAGGTCCCTGTTCAGGGTGCCAACTCTAGGTGACCTTGGTCCTGTGCCCCCTCTGGGGAGCCACCTGTTGCCCACTCTCCCAGCCAGCCTTGCTCTGGCACCCAGACCCGCTACCTTGTTCCTCCCTGACTCGGGGCAAACGTGGGTGAATGACAGAGGCAGGGAGTCAGCTTCCATGTGGGCAGCTAGGGGGCCGAACCTCTGACAGGCAGAGGAGCCCCGAGCCTTCGCCTCACCTCGCTTTTATTCACGGGCACAAGCAATCAAGGTAACACAAGACTCATCTGCTTTCCGATACCATTAGTACGTTCTCTGGAAACAGCTTAACCTCAGCTGTCTTAATTTTTCCCTAATGTTAATCACCCCCGAGTACAGCCTTTCTCCTTTGTGCTCGCGGAGGAGACCAATTAGGCCTCAGTTCTCCTCTGGTCATCCACACCTGGGAGCTCATGTGGGTCTGCTGGGGAAGAAGCCCTGGGGCTGAGCCACAGACATCAAACCTGGCTGTTCCCACCCCCTGTCTAGGCCATCCCTAGTGCCCCCCAGTGTTCCTCTGCCATTGTCCAGTGACTTGCTGTCCCCTTTTCTCCAGAATGTTTGTCCCTCCAGCAGGTCCCTTGCACCTCCAGGCACAGTCTGAAGTAAAGGGGATGCTCAGGACCTGGTTTCTTGCCTGTGTTTTGCTCCTTGCTTGCCTCCTCCTCGCCACTGGATGTCCCTGCCCTTCTAAGAAGAGGGGACAATACTGTGGCAGCTCCTTAGCTTTTGTCCACAGCCACAGGAGGACGAATGTGGGAGCTTGAATGCTCTGTGCCGCCCACAGTTCTGTCCTTTGGATCGATCATGGCATGCATGGGCACAGATGCCCCCCTCTGAGGTGTCGGAGGCCCCGGGGCTGCTCTCCACCTCATCCTCCCCTGTGTTCTTGGGAAACAAACGGAGGAGTCAGATGAGAGTGTGGCCAGCCCAACTGTCCCTGCATCTCCACAGATCCACACTCCAAAAACCCCAAATGGCAGAATTTTTTCTCATTGAGTTTATTGGTACTTTTTAGGTATAAGGTACAGTTACATTCATCATTGGGATCTTGTACCTTTACATAACCGATTTTTTTTTTTTGTACTGGGGATCAAACTTGGGTCCTTGCAATTATGAGGCAGGTGGTGGAACCACTGAGCTAAATCCCTGGCCCTACATGACAGATCTTGGTTCTCATTTTTTCCAAATACCCCTGTCCTCCCTTCACCCCCTCCACCCTTCCCTATTTACAAAGATTTTGTTTCCATTTTTTCCTTTTCTCATATTTTTTCTTTCCCTTATCTCCTTTCCCCTACCCTTCCCACTTCCCCTACACCTTTAGCCCTTTTCTTCCTATTTCAGTTGTACAATTTTAATCCTATTTACACTTTTTGTTTTTCACACCAGAGAAACTATTTGGTATTTATACATGTATGTCCTATTTATTTCACTTAAGAGTATGGCTGCAATATGCATCCATTTTCCTATAAATGACTCTAGTTTCTCATTCTTTATGACTGAGTAGCACTCCATTTTATAGAAAAACCACATCTCCTTTATCCAGTCTCCAATTGATGGGAAATAGGGCTGTCTCCAAATTTTAGCTATTATACACTGTGCTGCTATAAACATGCACATATATCACTGTGGTATGATTCTTTTAATTCTTTTGGAAAGATACCCAGAAGAGGGATAGCTGGATCAAATGGAACCTCTAATCCTAGTTGAGGTATCTCCATATTGATTTCCACAGTGGTTGCACCAGTCTGCACTCCCACCAACAATGGGGAAGGATTCCTTTCTCCCCACAACCCCGCCAGAATTTGTTATTGGCTGATTTCTTGATAGTAGCCAAAAAGAGCTACTTTGCTTCATTTGTTAGTTTTTTGTTGTTGTACCAGGGATGGAACACAGGTACTTGTACTTTTGAGGCAGGCGGTGGCACCACTGAGCTAAATCCCCAGCCCCTGAATGGCAGATTTTTAAACACATATTTTGGCTCTCAAATGTATTGGTGGCATATTCTTTTCTTCTCACATTTTTATTGCACAGAAAACATTAAAACAACAGCAGAAGGAAGCAGGAACCCCACCTCCCCTCCCACCACCCCTTGCAAGTCAGCTGTTTCCATTTTCCACTTTCCCTAGTCTCTCTCTTCTCTGGTTTTTCTCAGCAATGGCTCTACCTTCCTGGCTCTGCTTGGCTCAGGAGACCACGCAAAAGGCTGTGTTCCCTGAGTGCCTCCTGAGGGTAGAGGGGCGAGTCCTGTGTGGGACAGAGTGTTTGGACAGAAACTCTCTGTGGTTGGTGGCCAGGGGCACCGGCTTCCTTCAGGTGAGTGGAGACAGCGTGGCTGTTAAGGACTGGCGCCCAGCCCTGCCTCTGCTGGGAACGGGAGTAGTAATGGACCAGCCGTGCCCATAGTGGGCTCCAAGGGGTAGTAATGTGTATTACTAAGGAAAACGGGGAGAGAGTCAGTGACCAAAAAATTGGGAACCACCCGATTACACAAGGCTAAGCAATCTCTCTGAATTGCTGCTCAGAGCTTTGCACAGGGGGTACCGAACCTTTTCCTCTGCTAGTTCGACTCAGCCTCCAAGGGGCCCTTCTAGACCACATACTATCTTCGTTGTCATCCTCTCAGCAGCCCACGAATGCTGGGCATTGATATTGTGTCTTGTGGCTTGGCTCAATCTTCATAACAGGCCTGACTTTTATAAACGAGGAAACAGAGGCACCAGGAAGTCATGTGACTCAGCTAAGGTCACACAAAGCCAGGTGTCTGACACCCTAGGGCTTCCTACAATCTAATCGCACCTTGAGAGATCTTTCTTGTTTGATGCTCCACTGACCCCAGATGCCGAGTGGGGAGCTGGAGGCCACTAAGGTGCCTCCCTCCCCTATAGAAGGCCGAAAAGAGGAGGAGGTGTCCCGGGGCCCTCCACAGATGGTCGTTTGGCCCTTGACGCTGCCACATATCTACCAGGAGCTCAAGAGCACCGACATGAAGTACCGGAACCGTGTGCGCAGCCGCATCAGCAACCTCAAGGACCCCAGGAACCCGGGGCTCAGGCGGAACGTGCTCAGCGGGGCCATTTCCGCTGGGCTCATCGCCAAGATGACGGCAGAGGTGAGGAGCTACTGGGACTGACGTGTGGTGAGCCGAGAAGTTGGCTCTGGGCTCTGCCAGGTCTGGGAGGTGGTGGCTTAGGACCCAGTGAGCCAGGGGGCTTTTTCAGCCAGAGCCATCTGTGCCCGTGACGGGGTTTCTAGACGGTGAACTCGGCCGGATGCTATTAAGTGCTGCACCACGCACCTTCACCCCAACTGACAGGCACCAGGCCTTTGAATTTCCAGGTCAGAGTTAGTGTCTATATGTGGGACCTTGGAGAAATGTTTTTCATTCCCAGTTTTTCAGATGCGGACACTGAGGCCCAGAGGAGTAAACTGGTTTGTCCATGCACACAGCTAGACAGAGTTGAAGTCAGCAGGCAGCTGTCTGGTCCCAGGGCACCTGCTCTTCGCTGCTTTTTGTTTTTGTTGTTGTTGGTACTGGGGATGGAACTCAGGACCTTGTGCTTCTGAAGCAGGCGGCAGCATCACTGAGCTAAATCCCTGGTCCTTTTGTTTGTTTTTTGAGACAATGTCTTGCTATGTAATTCAGGCTGGCCTCAAACTCATGGTGGTTCTCCTGCTTCAGCCTCCCGAGTGCTGAGATTACAGGCGTGTGCCACCACGCTCAGCTTTTCACTGCTTTGTTCTCTGCCTTTCTGTTGTTTAGTCCTAAATCCCAGTATGTACCCAGCTGTGGGCCAAAGCCAGAATAGGAGTCAAAGGTAAAGAGACAGATTTACAAATATGTACAGTATAACACGGAGTGGTAAATTGCCGTGTTTGATCCACCCTAGGAATTTGAGGGAGGACTTCACAGGGTCAATAAGGGGAGAAAAGGGGAACAAACCTTTTGAGGAAGCATAGAATGATCAGATGCTTGGGAGCTGTGCCAGCCTGCCTGAGTCTGAATTTCACTTCTGCCGCTTAGCTGTGTGATCTGTTTTTCCATCTGTAACGTGAAGGTGATAAGAATAACAGCTATGTTGTAAAGGCTTACATGAGTTAATATACCGAAGTGGTTAGAAGGCATATGGAAAGAAATGACCCTGGGGCTCTTTAGGCGTCAGGGTGGGGCCTCTTGTCAGAGTTAGTACAACAGGCTCCTTCACCAGCCACTTGGATGAGGAAACTGAGGCTGCATACAGCTCGTGACAGATCCAGGTCTGTTTATCAGAGCCCACATGTTTCATCACACACCTTCAGATATGGCAGCTCTTTGCAGCCAGAGCTACTTGGGAATTCCCTGCGAGTGCCCTGGGATTGGATCAGCGACCGGAGTGGAAATGTGTCGGGCTCCTGGGGCCTGAGTGGGCCTCAGAATTGTCTGGGAGCCCTCTGAAACTGTTGGCAAGGGGTAGTGGGTATGTACGACATTGTGATGTATGGGTTGTGTGTCTGGTGTTTAGTGTATGTGTGTGGTGTGTATGGTGTGAAGAGTGTGTTTTTCTTACATATGTCCTGCATGAGGCATCACTGTTATTGCTATGATTGGGGTATGCTTAGTATTTAGTATATATGTGATTATATACATGTATGACATATGCATGATTCAGGTATTATGTGGTGTGTGATTCGTATAGATGTGTGTGGTGTGTAACTTGCAGTGTGTGTGTGTGTATGATTAGTGTATGTGTGATGCATAGAAATGGGGGGGGAGCATGAGCATAGGGCCGGGGATTTAGCTCAGTGATTCCACCACCTGACTCACAAGTGTGAGGTCCTGAGTTCGATCCCTGGTACGAGAGAGAGAGAGAGCAGATGAGCACATAAATTTTTCTAAGCAGAGGGCTCACTGCTTTTCTCAAATACCTATAACAACACAGAGCTCTGACTTCAGGGTTATCCTTCTGATGAGTTTAAAAACAACAGATCTTTTTGACAAATGGCAGTGTACGCTGAGAGTTGTAAATTGCAACATGGCTTTACAGTGTCTTAATCAGTGCAGCCTTCTGTAGCAGAAATACTGCGGTTGGGTGACTTATAAACAGCAGGCATTTATTCCTCCCAGATCGAGGAACTAGAAGATTCAGGGCCCAGGGAGGTCCCGTTTCTTATAGACACCACATTCCTGTGTAACTTCGTGGAGTGGGAGGAGTGAGGGGTTTAGGGGAAGGCATCAATTCGAGTCCTCAGGACCTAATCACTTCCCAAAGACCCCACCTCTAAACACCACCATCCTGGGGGTTAGTATTTCAGCATTTGAATAGGAAGGAGACCATCATCTGCCTCACGTAGAAAATGTGTATAAGCAAAATAGGGCAGCCTGGAGAGGTGTCTCACAGCTGTAATACCAGCTACTCAGGAGGCTGAGTCAGGAGGATTATGAGTTTGAGGCTAGCCTGGGCAATTTATCAAGACCCTGTTGTTATCAGATGCTGAGGTGCCCAGGGCTCCTTTCTGAGCTCTTGTCCTGTTCAGTGACCTGGATGGGACAACTGATGAGTGCAAAAGTTTAATATTTATTAAAGGTAAAAGAATAATAATAAGAAGAAGTGCTCTGAAGAAAAGAGAGAAGAGAAAATATACCTGGTATGAATAGCAGCAGGCCACTCACTTCAAGAGCAAGAAGACAATGGCCACCAGGCTAGTGGCCACTATCTTTTCATATCCTCCTTTCGGCATCCAGTCCAAGCCATCCAATGCAGGGCTTCGAAGCTGCTCTGCCCGTGTGTCTCAGCCATGATGGCCAGTCTCCATCATGGGCAGGTCATGCCCAGTTGCCCTCCTCCCTCATTTTCCCCAGGAGAGACATAAATCCCCAGGATTCTTTATGGGCTGCTGAGGGAGTAGGGCTGTGTCTCACACAGCTACTTCCTGCTGAAAAGGGCCATTGGTCCTACTTGGTAGGGATTATGTGCTCACTGTATTAGGATGTTGTGACTCACCAGCTGGCCTGAGGAAAACCTGTCTGAAGACAGTGAGAAGAGTTAGTGTCTAGATGTGGAGCCTGTTCAATGGGAGAAATCCTGGTGAATTTGTCAGGAGAGTAACATTACTATTAAGATGGGGATGTAGAGCCCAAATATGAGAAGGAGCAAGTCAGATTGTCACAGTTCTTGTGCGGCAAAGAGGGATGTAGATAGACTACCAGTGCTACCAGTTCTTATTCATAGTAACTCTGTCTATACTCAGAGCAGAACTGGAGTCTTGTTTTTTGTTGTTGTTATTGTTTTTGTTGCTTGGGTTTTTTGGTACCAGGGATCAAACTCATGACCTTGCACTTGTGAGGAAGGCTCGGTGCCACTGAGTTAAATCCCTGGCCCAAGTCTTGCTTTTTAAGCGGAGCCTTAGATCTTCTAGAGGTTCACAGGAGTAGAGACTCGGTCCTGTGAAAACTTGAGTGAACATTTCCCATGTAGGGTTTTTATAGATTGTCACTGTGTCCCTTGAGGAAGGACCAGCTTGATGGTCCCTCAGGAACTGGGACTAAGGCTAGGGTCTTGAGGGGCTATACAGCTGCCCTTCTCTCTTGCCTGTCAGTCTTTAAATTTCCCGAAGAGACTTTAGACGTGTCCCTTTGGTGTCCTTTGCAATGAATGATAGTGACCTCCCTGGGAGGACAGACAGAAGCCAAACAGTAGTGCAATAGTAGGTAATTTTCTTTTTTTTTTTTTGGATTGGCAGGGTCAAATTGTTCCCAGTGTTGAAGGATACAGCCTAATGGGTTGGTCACTGGGATCTATGGGGTGTTCCTCATGGTGTGTCTTGGGGTCTATGGGGAGAGACGGACCTAGCTCGGTCTGGGATCCTTCAGATGGCACTCCATACAGAAAGGGGAGACCCATGAGCTCACGAGCATCCTTTGGGAGACGCAAGCCCCAAACAGATGCCTCCGACTGCAGTGGTGGCATTGGTGCCTTCTTAGAAGACTGGGGCTCCTCAGCCTTAGAAGTCTCCAGACTCTGAGCTCCTACTCCTTAGGGAGGAAAGTGGAGATGCCCCAGGGGCTCCCTTCACAACTCACAAGAGATCCTGTTGGACAGGGGCTTCCTTGGACACTTGAGAAACAATAAACTCCTAAGAGATCAGGGGCTCCCTTAGATCAGGGTAGAACTCCCCAGGGGACTCCCTTAGAAATAGCAAGCTCTAATCCCGGTGTGGTGGCGCACACCTGTAATCCCAGCACTCGGGAGGCTGAGGCAGGAGGATCACTGTGAGTTCGAGGCCAGCCTGGGCTACATAGTGAGTTCCAGGTCAGTCTCAACTATATAGTGAGACCCTGTCTTGAAGAAAAAAAAAAGAAATAGCAAGCTGTAAAGAGATCAGGGTGGACCTCTTGAGGCCTTCCTTAGCCACCTGGGAAATAATGTCTCTTCCATTTATTCTAGTCATACCTTGGTTCTTTGATTAAGGTAGTAGAGGTAGAAATTTCTTTTTTGCATTTGAGAGGAGAGAAAGAAAAACTTTAAAAAGTGATTACCTGGGAGGGCTGGGGATTTAGCTCAGTGGCACCGTGCCTGCCTCGCAAGCACAAGGTCCTGAGTTTGATCCCTGGTACACACAAAAAAAAGTAGTCATTACCTGAATTTTTGAAACAAGAAGAGGCTCTAACCTGAGTCCCACACGTTCCCCGAAAGCAGAAACTTTAGTTCTTATCTATAAGAGTGAGAAAGCTGAGAGGCCGTATCATTCACTCAGCAGTGTTTGTGCTCTCAAACCACAATCACTGTGGACACAATACTACGAAAACAAAATAAAAACTTTTTCAGGAAGCCCTTTCCTTGCACCTTCAAATCGAAAGAAATCAACAGATACAGTGGCCAAAGGAATCTGCAGCAGCTTTTCAAAATATTGTCATCATATTTTAATAGCCCTTCAGATGTTTCTGCCCACGCTCCCCAAAGCTGAAACAACCTGGCTGTCTTGGGACCCTGGCGTTCAGACCCATTTGTCCTCATTTGCCATCGTCTCCTTGGATCGTACTTAGCTGGGCTTAGTACCTCTGCAACAAGTGATCCGAAGTGGTCTTCCCAGGGTGGCAGGCAAGACTTGGATTTGTGCGGCCTGAGACCAAGCCATCCCTCTGAGTCGCTGTATCACGTTTTGGGATCGTCTAGGGCTTGTAGTAAACTAAGGTCCTTGAATCTTTCTCTTTTCTTCATTTCTTATTTCCTTTAGAACACTTGTACACATTGTTAATCATAAAAGCAACCGGATCACATAAAACTTCGGGCCGCAGGGGAAAACATTGCCCTACTACAACTATTTAACGGTGTATGAATTTTCCAGCCCGTTTCCATTCCTGCTTTGTTTATCTGGTTGTAATCACAGGGAATATGCATTCTGGTGCCAGGTTTAATTAAGGGCTGAGAAAGGTCTTGTTATGCTAATTCCCTATTAGATTTATTACTCGCCAACTCCATTATGTTTGGCTGGAATTTTTGAAAGCAAGAAGTTATCCCTTAAAAATAATATTTACTTGGGATATAGTGAACATTTACTTGGTATCGTACTATACATGAAGATATATATATATCTATATATATACACAATTACAGTGCAGCATTTCTGTTCTTTAACTCCATATATAGTATCATTTAAATGGACTTTTTTATGTGAAATAACTATAGCTATTCTATTAGATAAATTAAATTTTTAAAAATTGAAAATATGGTACCTGAATAAAACAGTTGTTTAAATATCATTTAATTTTCAGATAAATTTGACTTATTCCAGGATTGTAAACATTGTATAACTCTTACTCAAACAATTTTATGGCTCTGCTGATCTTTTCAGCTCTATTTCTAAGCAGTCAACATTTAACCAAGGTAGACCAGATGTTTCTAAATTCAGGTTCTCAAAGAATCCCCTGAATCTTCAGGAGGAAATATCAGGGAAGGTACTTAAGAAGCAAAATATTTTTTAAAAATCTAATGCTGAGCCAGGGATTTAGCTCAGTGGTTTTGCTGCCTGTCTCATGAGCGCAAGGTCCCGAGTTTGATCCAGGTACCCCCCCCCAAAAAAAAGTAATGCTGCTGGAATTTTTTTTATAAAGGGTTTAGTAGCCAGGCATGGTGCTGTAGGCGTGTAAGTCAAGAACTCAAGAGGTTGAAGCAAGAGGACTGCTACAAGTTCAAGCCCAGTCTGGGCTGCACAATGAGTTCAAGACCGGTCTGGACTACTAGACCCTGCCTCAAAAAAAAAAAAAAAAAAAAGTTTAGCTTTTTAACGAAGCCTAAATCTCAAAACAACAGCTCCCCCTAATGGCCAAAGGAAGGGAAAATAGCAAAAAGCAGCTGGCCCATCCTGTGCCACACAGCAGGAAGCAGCAGGACAGGAGGAAGGAGCAATATGGCCCTAAGGGTCCCCAGCTGGGTGTGCCTAGTGGGCAGACAGGAGGCACCCGGCACAGCATGGCACCTGCAGAGCCATCTTGGGCTCAGATCCCCAGATTACCAGCTCTGGCGGCACAACAGAGCTAAGGCAACTAGGCAATAGGCTCCTGTCACAGGGTTGCTGCTCCGGACAGACCACAGTAGGGGTAGAGGTGTAGCCAGGACACATGGGGCTCCATGCCAGTGTGTCGGGATCCTGCAGGCCTGCTGAGGAAGGGCAGGAGGGACGATGGGGTAGGAGTGCAAAGCTGCAGGCACACACGGCCATGGCCAGCAGTTGCAGCTGGAGGCGAGACTAAGTGCAAGCAAGTGGTGCAGGCGCCAAGGGCCCAGCTGGAATTACAGGTGTGTAATGGACAGGTCATGCCCATTTCCCGGCTGGTTTGCCGTGCCCTAATGTCCTCCCTCACTATCCTAAAGTGAAACTTTAGAAAAGGCTGGGAATGTAGCTCAGCGGTAGAGCACTTATCCGGCATGTGTGAGGCCCTGGGTTTCGTCTCCAGTACAGCCAAAAATAATAATAATAATAATAATAAAAATGAAAACTGGTATAGACAAATACATTGAGGGGATTTGGGTGGGAGCAATGCTTTTGGGGAAGGTCTGTCTTTCATTGAATTACTCTCCCTCAATGCCAATCTCAGGAAAGCCTGCTGTCCTATTTTAGACATATAACACTTTATAATGCATTTTTCTTAGATCTCTGCTCTAAGATCTTTCAACAGGTAGCAGTTCCTGGTGCAGAGTAGATGCATGCTAAGTGTTTATTGATACTTTTTCTTTGGCGCTAGGTGGTAAACACAGGGCTGCTTGACTTCCCTGCCCCTTTTCAGTCATTTTATTTCGAGACAGGGTCCCATTATGTAGGACCTGGCCAGCCTTGAACTTAGAATCCTCTTGTCCAGGGGTCTTGCCTCGCAAGTAGCTGGGACTACAATGTGCACCAGTGCTTGGCTACTGATTTGTTGAGTGACTGAAAGAATAGATGTTCTCTAAAGCCTTTACAGGTATCAAGGCTGAAAATGATTCTAACCCACTCAAAATTCTTCGATCAGCCGGAAGCAGTGGCTCATGCCTGCGATCTTAGCTACTCAGAAAGCTGAAGCAGGAGGATCACAAGTTCAAGGCTAGCCTGGACAATTTAACAAGACCTTGTCTCAAAATTGAACAATTTTTGTTCTAACAGGAAGAAGGACAGCTTGGGGCTGGGTGGCCTGCTGAGTGGCGGCTCTGAAGGCAGGCAGCTCCAGTGCCCACGTGGATGGACATCCCTGTCTAGCATCTAAACTCTTTTTATGCCTCTTTCCTTGCTCACCTGATTCCCTCATTCAACCTCATCTCTTATCCTCTCAACCCAGACATGTCAGCATCTTTCTACCCCAGCCCTACCCCAGGCAGGTGTTCCCCTAGCTGTGTTCCCTGGGCACCTAGGATGAGCGTACCTAAGCACTTCCTCCTCTCTCCTGCAGGGGGCAGGAGCCCAGCCGTTCTGTCTGGAGCCAGCTCCTCCAGCTTCATTAAGCTGCTAATGTGTAGCTCTCCCAACTCTGCACTCAGTTGTGTCCCTCAGTAGTTTAAAACCAGCCACGGTGGGAATACTTGCGCCATGTAAACTGACAATACGCTGCGATTGACTGGGTACCAGACAGCCACAGCCCCTTTCTCACACACCTGTGAGGTTAAAGGCAATCGGGAAACTGACATCCAAAAATTTTTGAATGAACGAATGCATTGTGCCCCAAATGAAAGTCCACTGCTTTATTTTTTTAACCTCTGCAGGCTAAGGTTGACTCCGTTTTTTCCATACTCCTGCCAAGGGTTAGGCCCTAGCTCTTGAATCCAACACACTGGCATCTAAGCATTAATGCACCAGAAGGACTAGGGGCACTGCCCTTGGCATTTCAGATTCACTGGAATTTGCACTTTATTCAAAGCACAACTGGGTATAACCCAGGGTCAGCACACCCAAGTTGTTAGACCTTTATGCCAACTCTGTTCTCTGTAGCTTATGGGAATCAGGATAAAGAGCAACAATTAAAATTGCTAGCGAGTCCCCTGGGTATCACAGAGCTACATCCCCATCCCTTTTTAATTTTGCAGATAGTCTCACTAATTTGCCTAGACTGGGTTCAAATTCATGATCCTCCAGCCTTCCAGAGGGATGAGGTTACTGGAATGTACCACAACATGCGACGTATTTTTCATCTTGGGATAGGGTCTTGCTCAGTTGCCCAGGCTGGGCTCAAACGTGTAATCCTCCTGCCTCAGCTTCCCAAGTATGAGGATTACAGGCTTGCACCACGGTGTCCAGTTCCAAGTCCTCATTTTCATTGATGAGTTCGGCCACACTCCTTTCCCCATATCTATCCTTAGCTGGAACTCCCTCCAGTCTGAGTTTCTCCTGTCCGCCCTGTGGCAGAGGCTTAAGGGGAGTCCAGTGGCCACGATGCATAGAGAAGGGAAGGGCCTGGATACTGTAGGCACTGCGGGTCTGCAGTGGGAGCCAGAGATCGGGTTCTATGGGAAGTCCTAATAAAGATGCTCTGCAGTGCATGTCCTCAGTGAGCGCTTAGTTGTGTGAGCTCAGAGGCTTTAGGGACCTGCTGGGACAGAGTGGCAGCAATAAGTCACAGGCAGTTGAGCCAAGGTTCTCATGAGACAGAATGGGCTGGGCGGGAACAGCTGGAACAGTCACGGGGCCTGGTGCTGACTGGAAGAATAGAGGGACACATAGATCAGGTGGGCGGTGCTTCAGAAGGTTCAGTTCCGGCTGCAGCCCTGGTGGGCAGAGTGAGCCATGGGTCTGGAGAAGTGACACAGAGTGCCAGCCCCAACTGTTCTGCGTTTGTGCACAGCTGGCCGGAGCCAGAGCTCTCGAGTTGAGGGCAGGATGGGGACTGCTTGGGGACAGCTTTCGGAGGCAGGGTAGGACAAGGAGTCCAGGCCTCCCTCCTGCTCCTCGTACTCCATCTGGCACGTTCCCCCCTCCTCTGCTCATGCTCTTTAAGAACCCGGGGTGGGGTTGAGTCCCTGGTGTCACGAGGACTGAAAGATGGGCTGATTTCTCTCCAGGAAATGGCCAGTGACGAGCTGAGGAAGTTGAGGAATGCCATGACCCAGGAGGCCATCCGTGAGCACCAGATGGCCAAGACTGGTGGCACCACCACCGACCTCCTCCAGTGCAGCAAGTGCAAGAAGAAGAACTGTACCTACAACCAGGTAGGGGCGGTCACAGGCCACAGAGGACAACAAGGCAGAGGGAAGCATGGGGAAGGCCTGCAGGAGAGGGGACTAATGTGCTCCAGGCTGCAGACAGAGCAAGGTATGGGACACCACTATGGTGGCCCAGGGCTTCTAGAATAGAGCTGGAGTGTACAGTCAGACAACTTTGGGGCTATGGGGCCGGGCCATGTGTCCAACCTACCCTGAAGTGAGAGTAGGAGCCCCAGGACCTCAATGACATCACCAACAGTTAGAAGGGAACTTAGCAATGTGAAACCCAGTTCCTTCTTTGTACACATAGGGAAACTGAGGCCAGATGGACAGATTGGCTCTGCAGTTTTGCCCAAGGTGACAAAAAAGTCAAATGGCAGAGAAAATAACAAACCCAGATCTAAACCTTTCTGCCCACAGTTGGTCAGTGACACCCAAGAGCTGTAGCCCTTTGTCCTAAGAAGACCATTGTCCTGGCATGGGGAGCCATGGTGGGCTGTGGAGGACCCTCCTAAAATCAGAGAACGGCCTCCTGTTTCTGGATTACACCTGTTGCAGCGTTGGCACCCCATATTCCTGGATTCTAGTTGGTGTCTAATTGTTCTCAAACTCTATTCATTCCTCTATGTGCTCGTAAGCAAGATTTATCAAGTCTTGGTGCCCTGTGGCCACCATAGAAATTTAGTCAGCCTTGCCATTCCCAAAGGTTCCCTTGGAGAAGTCCCATTCAGGAATGAGACACGTGTCCCTCCCAAGCATGTGTCCCCGTGCAGCTGTGGGCTTCCTGTGTGTCATCTCCACAGAAATAAACTGCCCTCTGGCAAAGGTTCCTCTCCCTGGGGGAACCCCACTGTCATTCTTTCTTAGGTGTCACTGCTGGTCAGTGACAAGGCTGTGTCACATTATGTTCTCCTGGCTGGCTGCTGGATGTGCTAGCTAGCCCGGGGCCCACCCACACTGCAAAGTCGCACCTGACATCATGCAGAGCTGAAAGTCTACCAGGGCTGGCCTTGGAAAATCAAAGCAGTGACTGTTTAGTCCGGAAATGCCAGGGCTAGGCCATGGGAAAGCTGGTTCCTGCACCTGAATGATAAGGTTGAGGGAATGAGAAACTAGACAACGCGCCTGTAATCCCAGCCCTCAGGAGGCTGAAGCGAGAGGATTACAAGTTCAAGTCCTGCCTGGGCATCTTAGTGAGACCCTGTCTCAGAAAATAAAAAGGGGCCGGGGATTTAGCTCAGTGGTTCGGTGGCCTGCTTTGCAAGCGCAAGGACCCGAGTTCAATGCCTGGTACCTCTCCCCCAAAAAAAAGAAAATAAAAAGGGCCAGAGATGTAGCTCAGTGTGAAGACCCTAGAATCAATCTCTAGGACCACCAAAAGGAAAAGAAAAGGAAGTAAATTGTCCCAAAGATCTTCAAGTCCCTTTTGCTCTTTGTGCCTCAGTCCTTCCACCCATATAATGCAGGAGGTGAACTAGGTGATTTCTTTTTTTTTTTGGTACTAGGGATCGAACTCAGACCCTTGCAAAGCAGGCAGCAGAACCACTAAGCCAAATTCCCGGCCCTGAACTAGGTGATTTCTAAGGGTGCTGCTCTAAGCTCACTCAACTGATGCGTGGGCTTGTCCAGTACAGTTTGTGCAGGGATGATTCAGCGAATGTTTCCTGTGGGAGATGAGTTTTGAGGCAAGAGAGGTGGTTCAGAAGCATCAGTAAGACTACAAGTGCAGTTGGGCGTGGAGTTGCACACCTTGATCCCAGGTCTTGGGAAGCTGAGGCAGGAGGATCACCTGGAGTTCAAGGTTAACCTGGGATGCATGAGTTCAAGACCAGCCTGAACTGCAAAGTGAGACCCTGTCTCAAAAACAAAAAATAAAAAAAATTAAAAAGACCACAGATGCAGAGGGCAGAGGCCAGGCTGAGCCCATGAGACAGTGAGGTGATGGGCTGGTGGGGAGAGGAGAGTGTGCACCTGGGAGTTGTCAATGATGGGGGAATTGCCAAAGTGAGGCAGCAACATCAGTTCCCACCACTTGGATTTGGACCTACTCCTAAAGACAGCAGGAGCCATGGCAGGTCCTGGAGCAGGAGAGTAACTTCACAAGTGGTTCTTCTCCCTCCCAGATGCAGACACGCAGTGCTGATGAGCCTATGACTACCTTTGTCTTATGCAATGAATGTGGGCACCGCTGGAAGGTCTGTATGTCTACATCATATCTTTCCCCCTCCCTAGTCCTGCCTGCATTAAAACGTCATCTACCCACAGCCCGAAAGGGGCCTCATCAGCCTACACAGGGTCAGCTGGGAGTCAGAAGAATGGCAGGCTGTCGCTGGGACAGAGCTCCTGTGTGTGCTGGCCTCACAAGGGCACCAGCTGTAGCACAGGATGGGCAAGTGTGGTGTTTGAGCTTCCTGCCGTCCGTGGAGGGGAGGAAACAATAGCTCTGTGTGCCGGGTGGACCACACCTCTGCAAAGTGCTTTCACAGATGTGTTTCCTCTGAGCCTGGCCACAGGCAGGGGTGGGCAACAGGGAGGCTGAGTCCCCTCCAGTGAGAGTGACTCCCAAGTACCCTGGGTGTCCTCCCTGCCTGCGGCTCCAGCAAAGCCTTCCATCGCCCAAACCCGTGACCCAGGCTGCCCCAGCTCTTGCAGAGGTTCATTTTCAGTCCTGAGAGCCAAGCAGAGATGTTTCCCAGAGTGCTCTTTCAATGTGGTTCATATCCCTGTCCACTTCCATCTTGTGTGGGCACTGGTGACATCTGGGCCACCAGGCAGGCTGCAGGTGCTACTGGATTTAACGTGGGAGCCCAACACTGGGCCTGGGCCTGGGGGTCTGTGCTCTGGTTGAGGTCCCATCCCACCCTACTCGCTGTGTGACCCAGAGCGTGTCACTCACCCCCTGAGCAGAAGGAGATGGTAATGCCTTCCTCCCAGCACTGACGTGAGGGCTGTTCAGATGTGAACATTAGTATGCGTGCTTATGCATAAGCCCACTGTAAACAACAAGAAATGTTTCCGATATTAGTCTCACTTTCAGATGATGACACAGCTGCAGAGAGGGTTAGTGTCAAGCCTAAAGTCAGTCACACTTTGGAGCTCAGAAAGAAAATGTTCCAAATTCCTGGACAGTTGATTGTTTTTTATGAAGGGCCCCGATAGCCCTCACTAGGATCTTATTAGAACTGTCACATCTTTAAAAGGAAAAGCCAAGTGGTTGCTGGGTGTGGTGGTATACATCTGTAATCCCAGCACTCGAGAGGCTAAGGCGGGAAAATCATGAATTCAAGGCCAGCCTGGCCTACATAGCAAGATCCTGTCTCAAGAAAACCAAAACCAGCCAAGCATGATAGTGCACACCTATATTCCCAGCATTTGGGAAGCTGAGGCAGGAGGATTTTAAATTTGAGGCCAGCCTGGGCTACGTAGCAAGACTCGGACCCCAAAATGTAAATTTTAAAAAATGAAGCCAAGCCGGGCACGGTGGCGCACGCCTATAATCCCAGCATTTGGGAGGCTGAGGCAGGAGGATCTCTGTGAGTTCAAGACCAGCCTGAGCTACATAGTGAGTTCCAGGTCAGTCTCAACTACATAGTGAGACCCTGTCGCAAAAAAACCAAAAAAAAAAAATAAATAAATAAAAATAAATAAATAAAAAATGAAGCCAAACAAATAAGCCAGATGATATTTTCAATGTTCTTTAATTACTTATGTAGCACATGGCAATGGAATCGGTACAGTTGCTTACCGGGTTAGAGCATGGGCTTGGCATCAGATTCAAATCCTAGCTTCACCACTTACACAGTGTCATAGCTGACACTCTATAGGCCTGGATTTCCTCCCCTGTACAGCAGGGTACAGTGTTACTATCTGGCCCACAGAGCTGATTGGAGGACTAGAAAATGTGATACATGTAAGACACTAACAGGTCCTCTGATACCTCTTTTTTTTTTGGTACTGGGGATCGAACTCAGGACCTTGCGCTTGCAAGGCAGGAGCTATGCCACTGAGCGAAATCCCCAGCCCCCACTGATACCTCTTATGGCATCTTTGTCAAATTAGAAAAATTTGTTACTTCCTCTCTTCCTCTGGGCATACACAGCCTTGGCCCAGGATACAGAGCAAGCAGGAGTGTGGGCTAAGTGTCAGAAGAGCCAGGCTCTTCTGTGCAATCTATACCTTGCACAACCATACCTTCCACTTTAAGTAGGTCCTCCACCATTATTATGGGATTTTGATCCAGTCACTGAGCTGCTCTCTAAGCTGCTCTCTTCCCTGTGAAAATGGAAGCAATATTTCTCCTAGGGACAAGATGAGGATTAAATGAGTTAAAATACGTTAGTACCAATAAAATATGTTAGTACCAGTGCCCGATAAGCGCCCAATAAATGGTGGCTCTCGTGAACATTGGCACTGAGGAAAGGACATTGTGCATCCTGCAAGCCCAGCTCTTCCTCCCTGACTCCAACTAGATGGAGGGGCAGAATCCATGAGTGGTGAAAGCTTTATGGCTTCTGGCGATTATTTCCAGTGAGTGTCCATTGCCATATGGGAAACCTGATTGCTATTGATTATTGATTAGCAGTGATTAGAATAGTAAATGTTCTCAGCCATAAATTGAGAACACACCCCATGCCTGGCTGGCATGGAGCTGCTGTTCGTTTGTCCCTGGATACCCTCCCATTCTGCAGGTGAGCCATTTGTCCCGGGTCCCGCCACCCATCACAGCGGCCTTGGGATTTGGACACTAGCATGGTTGGCTTCAGACCCCTCCTGCCTTTTTCCTGACCCCACACAGCCTCTGTGGATGACAGGGAAATCTCTCAAATTCTGTTGCCTCTTTGGTTTTGTAGTTCTGCTGACAGCACCGGCCACCAAGACAGCAGTGAAGGAGGTAAGGAAGAACAAAGAGGAAGCTGTAAAGCATCTAAACCGGAGGAGAAAATAAAAATTAAACCGAAGAACAGTACTGTACTCGGAGTGGGGCAATAGGGCTCAGAAGGGGAGTTCTTTTGCCAATTAGTTATTAACATTCATAATGATTGGCTAATAGAGATGCCTAACTGGAGTACCATGCTAAAATCTGTTGATAAACTTCTTGCAGAAAATGCACTAGAGCTGAAGTATCACATTGTGACGGAGAGCTCCTCAGTTTTGCTTTGAGACCCTTCCCTCTCATCCAAATCTCCCAGACTTTTCTGGATAGAAAAATACCAGGGGGCTGTGGGTATAGTTCAGGAGTAGAGTGCTTGCCTAGCATGGATGAAGCCCTGGGTTCAATTCCTAGTACTTTGAGAAAGCGAAAAAGAAAAGCAGATCAGGGTTGGGGGTATGCTGGAGGTCCTAGTTTAGTTCATAGCACCATAAGAAGACAAGAAAGAAAACGAAACTACTTCTGGGGGCTGGACATGGTGGCACAGACCTGTAATCCCAGCACTCAGGAGGCTGAGGCAGGAAGATTGCCTCTAGTTCAAGGCCAGCCTGGGCAACATAGTGAGTTCAAAGCCAGCCTGAACTAACTACATAGTGAGGTCCTCTCTCAAAAAACCAACTGCAAACAAACAAACAAAACAAAAAAACCGCTAGTCATGGTTTCACATGCCTGTTAATCCCAGCACTCTGGGAGACTGAGGCAGGATAATCATAAGTTCACATGGGCAACTTATTGAATTAGTGAGACCCTGTCTCAAGACAAAAAAATAAAAAAGGGCTGGGGAGGTAGTTTAGTGTGAAGAACCTTGGCTTGATCCACAGTAGAACACACACACACACACACACACACACACACACACACACACACACAAAATAGAAAAAGAAAGAACGAAAGAAAGAGAAAGAAAAAAAGAAAGAAAGCACCAACCAGGTGTAGTGGCACACACCTGTAGGAAGTCCCAGCTACTTGTGGGGCTGAAGCAGGAAGATCACCTAAGCCCAGGGGTTTAAGGCCAGCCTGGGCAATAGAGCAAGACTATGTCTTTTAAAGAGGAAAAGAGATCAATGCAAATCTTCCCCTACTGTTGAGCCGCAAACTCAGAACAGACACAGGGTTTGTCTTAGGCAGACATGATTTCCACACCAAGTAGAAATCTGTCTTCCCTGCTCCTTCCTTGTTTTGTCTCTGCTATTCCCTGTTCATAACTCGCTGCTGGGGCCCTGACTCTGGGTCCCTCTAGGCAGGGAGGCAGCTCTCTAGAACATGAGCTTTCTGAGTGAGGGCCGGGACTTCCGTGGCCCCTTGGGAGATCCCAAGCTGTGGAAGCTGCCCAGACTGGAGCCGCATGGCCCTCCCAGCCCCACCTGTGGCTTGAGCTTCAGAGGAGGTCTGCAGAAAAGGGGGCTCCCACGATGATGTCAGCTTGCTTTTCTGCACTGAGAAGGACTTAGGCAAAGCTGGACACTTCTGGAAAAGCCTTGGGGACATGTTGAACGAGCTGTTAAGGGTCTCAATCTCTGTCCCTGGCCTCCCAGCAGCCTGAGGCCAAGCCTCCTGGACTCTGTCACCTGAAATGCTGACATGTACGAGTCTGTGAACTGCTGGGAGCTTGGGCAAGTCATGAATCCATTTCCTTACCTGTGAAAATGGAGGGAGAAACTCCGCTGTCTCCCAGGGTGACTGTGCTGGATTTCTTTCGGCCTGGGTTCACCCACTGGGTGGGTGATCTGTTGGGATAACAACAGCCCAAGTTCCTGCTCCTTCCTGGGCCTCATCTGCTCTGGACCTGGTTACATCTCCCTTCCATCTGTCATGTATCTCCTCCTGAAGAGGAAGCCATAAACAGACTGTGGGCAGAAACCACCACCAGCTTCATCTTTTAAGCAGGTAGGGTGGGAGGAGCCCTGTGGACAGGCTGCAAAGTCACTCGCTGAAGGCCTGACACCTGCAGCTCCTAAGGCCCAGGGCTTCTGCTTCTTTCAGGATGCCTGACTACCCTGGGAGAGATCCCGAGCTGTATGCAGAACTGAACCCCAGCTTCCAGGGATTTCTGGCCTGGCAGGAAGAGGAACACTATAGGGACAGACTCCCATGCCAGATGGGATGGAATGCCACACCCAAGGTGTGCATGTTCCTGCAGAGGTGCGGAGGGAAGCTGCTTAGAAACCCAGATGCTCCTTTACCTGTAATATGGGCCAGCCCCTGAGGACAGGGCTAAAGTGCAGGTTCTGACTCACTGGGCCTGAGGTAGGGCTGAGGTTTTCCTTTCTAACAAGTTACTTGGTGACACCAATGCTAGGGGTGGTCCACAGACCATACTGACTAGGAAGGGGCTAGATCTCTAGATTTTTCACTGCATTATCTAATCTAGACAGCAAAAGCAGAGCAAAGCAGCAACCATTATTAATTTAGTAAAGTGAATAAAGAGGATGGTGGCACACACCTGTAATCCCAGCACTTGGGAGGCTGAGGCTGGTGGATTTCACCGTGAATTCGAGGCCAGCCCCAACTAGGTAACTAGACCCTGTCTCTAACACAAACGGAAATAATGTTAATAGGCCGGGGATTTAGCTCAGTGGTTCTGCTGTCTGCCTCGCAAGCACAAGGTCCTGAGTTCGATCCCCGGTACCAAAATAATAATAATAATAATAATAAATGTTAATAAAGGTTACTTTGAGGTGAACTTTTAAAGGTGACACATAGTCACGTTCTAAACATCCCTTATGTCCCCAGTGTCATAGGGATTTATAGTGAAGGGGAGAAAAAACAACTAAAGCTTCACCCTCAGCAACCTTACTGTGTACAAAGGAGATGAGTCAGATTAAACAGCAACACAAGTCAGCTCAAGATCACATGCCTATAAGGTACACATCTGCATTCGCAAAAGCACCCTGACAAACATGAACAGGGCCCAGATGTGTTCATGGCAGGTGACAACACCCTCCCGAGGGTCCTCCTGAGTCCACCTTGGAGCCCCTCCAATCTGTGCCCTCTGCACTACGGACTAGAATTGGCTTTTCAGAGCTGCAGATCAGCTCTTCCCCCACTCTGCCGCTGGCATGTACAGGCTCTGGAGTTTCCCGCCGCTGCTGGCAGGGCCGGGAGCCTGCGGAGCCAGCCTCTGCTTCACCCCCGCACTCCGACTTCGGCCAGGCTGGCACCCACTCTGCTCTCATGGCCTGCTGTGTACCTCCTGGGGCTGCTGCCTGGGACGCGGCTTAACCGAGTCCTCCTCATCTCAAAGATGAGACGAGCTACATGCAAGGTATCACTGACTTCTGTCACCTAGGAAGTCTTCCTAGGGGAGAAGAGATTGTCCGGTTCAGAAGGAGGAGAAGGACGAGGTTAGGTGAGGTGAAACAGAAGCCGCTGAGGGTGGGGGAGGGAAGGTCCGGCAGTGAGTTCTGGCCAGAAAGCCTTGAAGACAAAAGTCTATTCAGGATCCCATGACTAACTTAGAAGATATTTTCGAAAGGTTACAGGGAATGAAAATACAGTATGGAAGTGTTAGTAATCTCTCCCAGACTTGCAGATCTCTGTTGTTAGCCTTCCGTTGTTTGTTTGTTTGTTTGTTTGTACTGGAGACGAGATCCAGAATCTTCCCATTAAGCCATTGCCTCAGCCCTTTTTCATTTTTTTATTTTGAGACTGAGTCTTGCCAAGTTGCTTAGGCTGGTCTCAAGCTTCCAGTCCTCCTGCCTGGACTTCCCAGAGTGCAAGGATTTCAGGCACATGCCACCATGCCTGGCTGGCCCTCCTTTTTCTAATTTTTTAAAGAATTATTTTCCAAAGAATGAATTTTATGTGACTTTTAAAAACACTTACGGGTACAGTTTCTTTCCCTCTCACATTGATGTGTTTGTGTTTCTGGGTGTTGCGGTGCTGGAATCTCCTGGAGGTGGTCCCTAGGTTCTTTTTGTCTTGAGCAACGATTTGATTGAGACAAGCACAAATGGTAGCAAAGTTTTATTAAGGTTAGGAAAAGAAAAAGGCCCTGCAGAGCAAGTTTGGGCCAAGTAAAAGCAGGAAATGAAGTCCACCCGACAGCGTGGGGTGGGCCAGCCATGCAAGAGAACACAATGGCCTGGCCCTCCTTTTCCTTTCGCTCCTGACTTTCATCACCAAGTGTCTATTTGGGTCTCTCCTCCCCAGAACCCTGCTGTCTATAAGTCACCTGGCCCTGAACTCGCATCTTCTCCTTCCTAAATGCCCTGTGCTGTCTTTCCATTTCTGCCTATTCTTTTCCTGGATCCCTCTGTGACCTTCCTTGTCATTTACCAACTACTGTCTCTCCTTTGCCAGACCCCTTCCTCCGTTGCCCTCACCACCAACATGGACCTCAGACTGTCTTTCTTTCTCAATTCAGTGCAAAGCCCTTCTGCCGGGCTCCAGCTCAGCCACTCCTCCTCCTTGTCTCAGCTGTGCACACCCCTCTGTGGCTGTGAGCACCCTTCCCCTAGTCATCTTCAGCACCTTTCCCGTCAGCTGTCAAATCCCAACTCCTTGGGTGTGATTTGCAAAGACCCCTTCCATCAGCGTCAGCCCTCTGTTTTATTTTTGAGGGACTGGATGGCTTCACCTCATTGGCTGATTCAGGGAACGTTCATCCTGTGCCTGTCATTGGAGGCTCAACCTCCACTCCTGCTGCTCCTGATTCTCAGCCTGAGGGACTTGGATGCCCTATTCTTGGATACTCCCTAACCTGCCCACTAATAGCTGACCATTTTGCTTCCTCCTCCCCACCCTGGTCCAAGTCTCACGTGTTTTCCAAGGCTCACTCGGATGCACATCGATGAAGTCTCAGATCCCAGGCAACGTGAGGCAGTGCCTCAGGACTCCCACAGTGCTGTGATGCTCACCACACAATTCTGTCTCCTGGGCTCTCACTGGATTGTTGTGTTTTTTGTTTTTTGCTTCGTTTTGGTACCGGGGATCGAACTCAGGTCCTAGCACTTGTGAGGCAGACAGCAGAACCACTGAGCTAAATCCCAGGCCCTCTCACTGGATTCTGCCATCCTAATTCCTTTAACCCTTCTTCATCTGACAGTGTCATCAGTACCTACTAATCACTGAGCATTCTCTAGTTGAGTATTCACTGAGCATCATAGAGCTGAGTATCTTAGGTGCACCGCATAACTCCTCCTTGCTTTCTGTTTTTCACCTGTAAAATAGTGGTAATAACAACTTCTAGTGCCAAGAGCTGTCGTGAGGATTCTTTAAGCCAATACAAGGGAAACTTGTAAGCCAAGTACCATGGTGCACACCTGGAATCACGGCTACTCGGGAGGCTGAGGATGGAAGATGGTGAGTTCGAGGCCAGCCTGGACAATTTAGCAAGATTCCAACCCATCCCACTTCCCCACCCCATCCTCAGCCCTCGAAAGGAAAGCACCTCGAATGCTGCTTCACACACAGCACTGCTTAGTAAACATTCGCTATCGTCATTACTAGGAGCGCAGGGGAGCCCTTCACACTACCTCAACTAATCCTCTGGCCTATGAACTAGGTGACTAGGAGTTATACTCCTTTTGTTTTGTTTTTCTGGTACTGGGATGAACCCAGAGCCTTCACACTGAGCTACATCCCCAGCCCTTTTATTTTATAGCAAGACATCTTGCTATATTGAGATTTCCTGCCTCAGCCTTCTGAGTTCTGAGATTACAGGCATGAGCCACCATGTCCAGCTTATCATACTCTTTTTTAAAGTTGTGGTAAAATATACATAATATAAACCCTCTCACCCTTGTGTGTGTGTGTGTGTGTGTGTGTGTGTGTGTGTGTGTGTGGTGCTGGGATTCAGACCAGAGCCTTGTGTGTATTAGGTGAGCAGTCTACCACTGCCCTACACCCCATCCCTTAACCGTTTTTAAATGTACAGTTTAGTAGAATCAGGTACATTCAAGTCACCTACACACTGTTATGCAACCAATCTCCAGAATTTTTTTTATATTATAAAACAATCTCTATTCAGCAGCTCCTCTTTCCCTCTCCCTCTGGCAACTGCTGTTCTGTCTCTCTAAGTTTGTATTATTATACTCTCTTTTTGTGTGTGTGTGGTTTTGTACTGGGGTTTGAACCCAGGACCTCACACATGCTAACTAAATGCTCTATACCACTGAGCTATACCACCAGCACTTTTTGGAGACAAGGTCTCGCTAAATTTGCCAGGCTGGCCTTGAAGTTCTGATTCTCTTGTCTTAGCCAGCTTCTGTATTACTGTACGCTGTCCTTACCAACTGAGGAACCCCAAGAGAGAGCCTGGATTTGAACCCAAGCCCATCATGCTCTGAGTCAGTCTGAAATATAGCCTCACCTTGCAGAGCATCTGTGACATGATTTACCTCTCCCAGGTGTGCCAAGGTCTCCTCTGTGCTGTTCTTACATTTGATCCTCACAGTAGCCCTGTGTCAGAGTAAGGGGTGCTGTCCACTTTCCCAGCTCAGTGTCTGGTACAGACAACGTTCACAGGGCTGGGGATTTAGCTCAGTAATTCCGCTGCCTGCCTCACAAGTGCAAGGCCCCAAGTTTGATCCCTGGTACCAAAAAAACAAAAAAAGAATCAGAGTAAAGTTCCATAATTGCACCTGTTTGATGTCTTTAAATACAGTAGATGATACTAAATAATTTTGTTGTACATTTTTAAAGCAATTGTCTCCCCACCCACCACCGGCAGTGCTGGGGATAGAACACAGGGTCTCATGAACGCTAGGCAAGCACTCTACTACTGAGCTATATCCCCAGCCTTTAAAAAAAATGTTATCTTATTTTTATTTTGGTACAGGATCTTTCTAAGTTCCCTCAAATTGGTGATCCTACTGTCCCAGCCTCCTGAGTAGCTAGGATTACAGGCACGAGCCACCATGCCTGGCGCTACATAGCTTTGGAAAATATTCTTTGGAGAAAAGCAGCAGTAATAGTAAGGCAGGCTTCCCAGTCCTCTGTGCTCCACCCTCCTGCAGAGTCCGCCTGCTCTCTCCCTGACCAGTTCCTGTGCTGCCTGCACAGGCGCTCTTCCCTCTAGCCATAACCAGTCCCAGCCATTCTGGACATCACGTTCCCACCTTTCTTGTCTCTTTGCCTTCCCCTGTGCTCTTTTTCTTTTCTTTTTCTTCCCCCCTTTTCTTCACTCCTGTCCTTCCCTTCCCTCTCCCCTTTTTTTAATACTAGGTTTTGAACCCAGGGCCTCTTTCCATTGAGCTGCAGCCCCAGCCTTTTAAAAAAAAACATTTTTCAAAAAAATGTTGAGATAGTCTTGCTAAGTTTCTAAATTGCCCAGGTAGGACTTGAACTTGTGATTCTCCTGTCTCATCCTCCCAGAGTATTGCCATTATAGGCATGTGCCACACTGTTTGACTACACATGCTGTTCTTGAAGACTGGAACTTTCTCCACCGCCAAAATTTTTCCATTCTTTGCAAGCCAGCTCAGATGTTACCTTCTGTGGGAAGCCTCTTACCCTCCTTACCAGCTAGGAGTGCAGACTAGCTCATCCCTTAGGAAAGCCAGGGGGCTGAGAGACTGTGCATGTCAACGTGCCCCTGACCCCAACTCCTTGCGCAATGATGAGCTCTCCTCACTCTTCCTGGCAGGAGTTAAGGGAAGCCCAGGTTATTGCAACTTTTAAATGATCCCTGTCTTTGAAAATAACGACATGACAAACACTGGGGTAAAATTTTTACTGTTTTAACAATTTAATGTTTCTGATACTAAACATTGACCACATTATTGTGCTGCCCACAGGATAATTATAAGATTTATTAAAATACAATAATTTACACAGCAGTGCAGTGCCTGCCTGGCAAGCATCAGGCCCTGAATTCAATTCCCAGTACCAAACTAATAATGATAATGATAAAGATAATAATAATAATAATTTACAGTGTTCCACAGGTACAGTGGTCTAGTCATGGGGCACAAATTTAAAGATATCAAAAGAGGGTCTTTGATCAATCAAAGAGTGGATTGGACCACAATGCAAACCCTTATTTGAAGGTGATGTTCAAGGCCTAAATTGGAGATTCAGGCCAAATGGCTCACTGGCCTCACTACCCAGTGATAGGCTTACTGCTGCCTCTGCCCTCATCATTTGCTGAATGATGGGAACAGTTTTTCAAGTAGTTATTGAAAACTCACATACAATAAATATTCCTGAGATATCCTGAAGTTCTGAACAATGGGGCAGGAAGCCACCACCTCTTCCAGTGACCCCAAACCTCAAAGTCTAGCTGAAAGCTGCAACAGGAAGCTCCTCAGCCACTGTCTTTTCTCTACCTCTCCCCTTTGCCCCCAAGGGCTCCTAATGCAGTCATCCACTGGCAGCCTGGCTTCTCCTCCACCCTCCAGAGGGTCCTAGGTAAGGAAAGAAAAAGCACTTACTCACAGAAGGAGGCAAGCAGCCAAGCTGGGCTTGGACAGCCTTCCTGCCCAGGCAGTCCTGAGGAATAAAAGAAACAGAGGACAAAGAGGGCTTAAAGCACTGGAGCAAGCGGGTGGAGGGAAGGAGTAAGGAAGTTTACAAAGCCAGAGAAGGGATGGAAAGGGAGTCCGGCTGGGCTGAGGGACTCGGGCCATCATATCACAGTTAGAAACCTACAATGCCGGGGCTAGGAATGTAGCCCAGCAGCACCAAGCTTGCCTGGCAAGCACAAGGTCCTGAGTTCGATTCCTGCTAGGAAAAAAATGCAATTCCACAGGTAAAGGCTGCATGGATCCCCACCCCCACCTTGTTCCTAGGAACTGGTTACTCATCCCTGATCTAGTGATTTCCCTGAGTGTGAGGCCTCAAACTTGTGGTCTCTGGCAGCTAGTGGGCAGACCCAAGAACTTCTTCTCAGCAGTGTTCGCATGAGCCCACCGAATTTGCCCAACTACCAGTTCTGTTTGAATTTCCAGCAGAAACACAGTGTAAGGTTAAGGTCATCCTCAGCTCTTCACGCCTATTGAGCCACTCTAATTTCTCAGATTTTTCAGGGCCATTGAATATATCCACAGGTCTTTCTGGCAATCTTGTCATCAAAGGCAGGATTAATAATAACAACTATCGCCTGAGTGCTCACTGGGTGCGGAGTGCTTGAAGTCTTCTCAAACCTCACAGCAACCTTAGGTATACAGAAAAGGAAATGGACTTGGAATGATTAAACAGGCTTTCTGCAGGATACACAGCCTGGATTCTAACCAGGTCTGCCTGACCTCGATGCCCACACTCTTTCCACCAAGGATACTGCCTCTTGGGAACACTTAAAGGATTCTAATTTAAGTAGTGATCAATTTTAGAGAGAGTAGGGCCAGGGAGTTGGCTCAGTGATTCCGCCGCCTGCCTTGCAAGAGCAAGGACCTGAGTTCAATCCCTAGTACCAAAAAAAATTTTTAGATAGGGTAAGCTAGTACAATTCTGTGGCATCTAGAGAATCCCTAGCCCCACTTTGGGGGTGGGAAGAGGAGTAGGAGTGGGAGGTGCTGCATTATGCTGGGTGGGGTCCCACCACTTCTTTTTAGACAAGATTAATTTAAGCATAAATAAGTGGGCACTGGGAACAGGATACTCACTAAGAAAAGCATGGCCCAGAATTATGTTTAAAAAAAAAAAAATCCAAGCCCTTCAGTGGGTGGATGTATCTGCAAAACAAAGGAAAAGCCCCTTTCCCAGCCCAGGCAGAGAAATCTCCTGTACAGTTAGAGACAACAGGCTTCCGGGCACATAGCCAAGGTTCTGGGGATATTTATAACTTGAAGAGGGTGGGAGTCCCTAATAAGCTGCTATATTCTTTTTCCATCACTTCCCTCTCCAAGACTACAGTGAGCTCAGAGCTCTTCCCCGCGCAGAAAGCCTGCTTTGCCTAGAGCTGGACTTCCATTGTGTAATTCCCTCATCCTGGCTGGGGAAAGGGAAGGCTGCAAGTCCTTCTGTTCCACGGAACTCCAGATGAATACAGTTTAGCTGCCGGTGGTATTTTTTGGCTGACTACTGTGGCCTCGGGGATCTGCCTGTGAGCCTGTGATTTCTCAGAACCGTCTGAGAGTCTAAGCCTACGATTTTTGGGCTTTGCCTGCAAGTCTACGGATTCGAGATCTGCCTGAGGTGGGTCTGAGATCTCCGGGATCTTCCAGTGATCTCTAGAATCTCTCTAAGTATCAGAGGCCCGAGAGAACTATCTGCGGCTTTGGGATCCATTTGAGGCCTCTTGGATCTTGCAGCCGGCAATCTAGTGGATCTTTTGCAGATCAGGAGGTAAGTGTTTTTGGCTTCCAACCTTTACAAATAACTGCTCACATCCTGATTCACCTGGCTCAGGCCCTTAGAGGCCCAGGGTTCCTTCGGTGCCGGAGGCTTCCAGGAACCCTTGTGACAGACAGGCACTCAGGATATGCACCGCCAGCCAGCCCTAGGGCCTGGCTATCTCCTTATACGCTCCACCCCCACCCACCCTTCTTATTTTTCAAGGTTTCTGCTCCTCCGATGGGCGCCAATTCAGTCCCCTTTCGAGGGGCATTGTCTTTAGACAGACGAGGTCGGATGCCCCTACAGGGTTAATTAACAGTAACTAAGTGGGGACAACCGGGTCTTGCCGCAGACCACACTGAAGCGTAGGACAGGTGGCGCCGGGCCTGCCGGGAGTTGTAGTCGGCGTGTAGGAGTCAAGTGCCGCGGAAGTCCCTGGGAGCTGTAGTCTTCGAGCTGAGGACAAGTGCCAGAGGCGCAGCTGGGAGGTGTAGTGCGTGGGCGGGGCCCAAAGTTGAAGCGGGGCTGCTGACTGCCCCGGAAAGTGGGCGGCTGATGCTTTTCTCTTTGACCTGGGCTGTCAGATGAGAGCTAATCTCAGCGAATCTCTGAGAAAGCCAGCACCTAAATTAAGTCCGATATCACATATGATAAGTTCTTACTCAAAAGAAGCTTTGTAGGGACAGGAGAAAAAGTAGGGCCACCTCCCTTGCTTAATCGGGCTGTGGTCTCCAAAGGAAAAAAGCAGGAGATACTCCGCCTTGGCTCGGAAGGGGACGCGCTTCCTTCTTCACCCTTTTGTTCTTTTCCCTCCTTGCCCTGGCCCCCGACTGGCCTTTGTACGCGGGAGTGGAACTCCAACTCCCGGCAGGCCACCAGGCAGGCGCAGGCGTGATAGAGGTGGCCAGACACGCTGCAGGAGGCGGACCGAGTGCTCGGCATCTGATTGGCATGATGTTTTGAAGGGTTAGCAAGCTGATTGGCTGCGGCAGCTGCCGGAAAGGTCTCAGCCTCGAGATGGAAGAGCAGAGACGTTCTGTGGGCTGGGCTGAGAGCCTCCTCCCTGAGACAGCATCGGGCTATCGGGCTGACCTCCGGCCCCGGAGGGATCCAGCTAGGGGGCTGTCCTAGCTGATTCTGGCCTGGCCTCCCCTCCTTGGTGGCGGAGACCTAGAGGGCGGGTTACACTTGGGGGGTCAGCTGGGAGAGTGACCCGGCCCTGCTCCAGGGCCCTCCCCGCCCGCCTAGAGGCCAGAACTCCTGCCCTGGGGAGTGGGCAGGGCCTGTTTCCAGTGCCTCACGCCCTGCTTTTCGCCTCCTTCAGCGCTGCCCGCTCGCTGCTTTTCCTGCTCTCCCAGGAGGCGAATCCTTGTGCCCGAGATGGCAGCCACCCTGCTCATGGCTGGGTCCCAGGTAAGCCGGGGATGGCTTCTCGGACTTTGACTCTGCTTACCCATCTCGTCCAGCATTCCTCTATTCTGCATACCCCCTGTGGAATTAGTAATTCGCTTGCTTCGGTATTCTGCCTCCAAGGGCCTAATACCAGCATAGCCACAAGCAAGCATATGTTGAACACCTGCTGTATACTTTTAAAGGCTGGGGAGATAAAAGACAGACCAGACGGGCGCTGCCCACCTGCTCTCGATCTGTAAGGAGAAAGACTCACCGGTTTAACCGTGATACAACGCGACAAGTGCGCTATTTGCTGTCGCAACGAAGTGCTGTGAAGTGGGAATCAAAAAGTAGAAGTGACTTCTCTTCGGGGCATCCAGAGGAGGAGTGGAGGGGCACGGAAGGGTGGGATCGCCCAAGAACACTTGGCACTAGAGTAGGACCATAAAGCGCTAGTCTGAGAAAGGTAGTACAAAAAAAAAAAAAAAAAAAAAAAAAGAGGAACACTGTATATACAGGTATGTAGCGATGCAAATGTTAGGTGTGTTGTGAAAAAAAAAGGCATGGATAGAGTGTGAGGTTGCTTAAGTGGGGCAGGGATATCTGGCCATGGGACCAGAACAGAGCAGTTTTGTTGTTTTTGTTTTTTACATGTTCTTTTCTTTTCTTTTCTTTTCTTTTTGGACTCTACAGATAAGACTTAATGCCTTTGCCTCCTCAACATTTCTAAACATGTCTGTAATTTCAAGAAGAAAAACTGGTACTAACCACTTAGATACCGAGTAGTGAGGAAGCGTTGTGTGATTTCAGGCACCTGTGACATTTGAAGATATGGCCATGTATCTCACCCGGGAAGAATGGAGACCTCTGGATCCTACACAAAGGGACCTTTACAGAGATGTTATGCAGGAGAATTATGGAAATGTTGTCTCATTAGGTAAGTAAGGATTCAGCCTTTCTTCACAAACACTCCCCCCACCCCCGCTTTTGCAACTGTGTCAAAATGGTTTAGCTCTTTCAACATAGCCTAGTTGTTAGATTTTTAAAGCACTTAATTGGGTATTGGCTTGCGTTCAATGCTCAGGCAAATCTTTGAATGTGAAAGCATCTAGGTCATATTGTCTGAAAAGAAAAAAATGTTTCTGTGCATTTTAGAAACTTTCAGATTTCTTGTGCCCTGAGTCATTTGCCATTCTCCAGCCTGTTTGTACAGATCACTGACCAAACTGGTCTGACATAATGGTGTTTGCCAGGATATAAATGCCCTGTAAATGGTGCTTTCACTCTAGGGCACTAGAAAATGAGGGAATCTGACTTAGGTTCATGGGAGGGCAGAAGTCACCCTTGTGTTTGCTTTGGCTTCAGATCCTACCCTTGCCTCAGATCCTTTATCTGAGGAGATTCTTGTCTAGAAATATTTCAGAGTTTATCACAGATTGCAGGTGTGTCAAATGTTGTTTCAGTAGAATCCTGAAATAGTGAGATCATAAATTCTATTAAGAGAAGATGACTGGGCCAGGGCTTGAGCTCAGTGGTTCTGCCACCTGCCTTGCAAGTGCAAGGTCCTGAGTTTGATCCCCATACCAAAAAAAAAAAAAAAAAAAAAAAAAAAAGATAAGTCTTTTTTTTTCATGGTCTGCAAATTGTTTTCTTTCTTAGCTGTCGTTTGGTCCAGCTGTAACTAGAATAAACAATATGGTCTTAAAAGGAACAGTCTTTTGACTCATTTTATCTCCTGTTAGGACTTGACAGGAGTTAGCAAGTGTGTATGGTTCTCTATATCATCTGTCATTCACTAGGACCAATACGTTTTCTGAAATCTTTATTCTCACATCTTTTCTCACTACAAAAAGCAACTTGAGGGGTTTTCTTCTTCTTCGTTTTTTTTTTTACTACTGGGACTGAACTTGGGACCGTGTGCTTTTGAGGCAGGTGGCAGAATCACTGAGCTAAATCCCTGGCCCGAGAGGTTTTCTTCTCCTTCCCCCGCTTCTTCCCCTCCTCCCCCCTCCCCCCT